AAGGAAGATATGTGCAGGGTTCTCTTCGCTCGCATGCTCCACTTACGAACAAGATTTGTTGGGTTGCAATTAGAGAAATAGGAGTGTTGGGGAGAGGAGATTGAGAGAGAGAGAATGGTTGGGGTCTTTGGCAGAGGAGATCGAAAGAGAGAGAGAGAGAGAGGAAGAGGATTGGAGATATTGAGTGAGAGTATTGAGAAAGGATGGTTGGGGAGAATGAGAAAGAAAGGAGCTGGGTGTGGATTAAGAAAATGGAGTGCTGATATCGGTTATAAGGTATTACTGGGTAACTGCTGGTTATTAACCGGGTATAACCCGATATACCGTTAGCTGAAAGGTAGCTACCGACAGGGCTGCAAACGAGCCGAGTCGAGTTTTAGCTTAGCTTGAGCTCGGCTCGTTTATTAATTTATTAGCTCGAGCTCTGCTCGAACTCGCATTTTGATAATCCAGCTCGACATCGAGCTCGGCTTGAATAAAAATAAACTAGCTCGAGCACGACTCGGTAGAGCTCGATAAATGCTCATCAATATAGCTTGTCAAGCTGAGTACAAGCTCAGCTCAAGATGAGCTAGATTTAAAATAATTTTTGTTGGAAAAATGTGTAAACATAAGAATTTAAATGATAGAAAGAACACTAGAAACTATAAATAACATCTAAATTTCATACACATTTGTATCAACAGAACAATGTTCATGTTTAAAAGAGTAATTCATCCTTCCACAAGTTCTAAACAAGGCAGCTCGCGAGCTTAGCTCAACAAGCCACCGAATCAAGCTAGCTCAAGCTTGGCTCGTCAACTAACGAGTTGGCTCGCGAACCGACTTGTTAAATAACGAGTCGAGTGTCGAACGAGTTTTTTCCGATGCGAACGCCGAGTTGCTCGTGAGCGGCTTGACTCATTTGCATCCCTAGATACCGTATTCCGACACCATCGGATAATGGTATAACCGGTAACTGCCGCTTACCAATTACGGTAATCGGTTATACCGTTAACCGGAAAACCGATTACCACCCCTATGACAGAGGATATAATTGGGTTTTGTGTATGGGGAATTTAATTATTATTTTTTCGAATGACTAATTTGTTAGATATGAAACTTCAATGATGAGTTTGTTACAATTTGCATAGTTGACTGATAGCTTAAGTAATTAGCCCTCGGTTTTGATATTTTATTTTAGCAATTAAATGGGGAAGTATGAGGATCGGGGCTCAAGATAGGGTCAGTAACCATTGGTTACTCACCCATGAGTAACTAAATATGGACCTTCCTTTTTAAGTTGATCTAGAAAATCCAGATCTAAGGGTTGTGAATTAAAAGCATTTTATTTTTTCTAGTTTTCTTAATCGGCTCTTATTTTTTTCGTTCAAACTCGAATTTCAATTTTTTTGCACAAATGAAACGAGTTCGTCGTGCTCTACAAAATGAGTTCAATTTTTTCCAGAACCTCTCTTACCAACTCCATACCATATGATATCTCCTTTGTTTTAACCTCTTTTTGGAAATATATGCAATAAAGGAACGAGTTCATCATGATCTATTGAATCTACAAATTTCCGGGACAAAAAAATACAGGACAAAATAAATACCATAATATACCACCCTGGTATGCGGGGTGGTAACTTGTGGTACACAATGATGACAGTTGTAAATTACAGTTAGTATACTCTTACTATCATGTATTCAACCATCCTACAGTTTTGGTATGTTCATACCACCATAGTACGCTTTCGTACCATATGGTATACTCTCATTTAATACCAGTCAATACTATATGGTATAAACTCGTAAAAAAATGTCTCCATTTTTTTTTTGTTCTAAAAATATATTAAAATGGATATAATTTTGAAGAGCACAATTAATATGATTTATCTGTGAAAAAAATTGAGCACAATCAATGCTATATGGTATAAACTCATGGTTACTGACCCTAAGGTTACTGACCGCATCTGCTCCCTGGGGACCAGAGGGAGGGCTCAAGATAGGGTCAGTAACTATTGGTAACTCGCTCATGAGTAACTAAATCTGGACCTTCTGATTATGTTGGCCCAGAAAATCAAGATTTAAGGATTGTGAATTAAAATCATTTTATTTTTCCGATTTTTTTTAATAAGATCTTATCTTTTTCGTTCTAACTGGAATTTCAATTTTTTCACAAATAGAACGAGTTCATTGTGCTTTACAAAATGAGATCAACTCCATACCATATGGTATTCCAACATCCTACAGTCTTGGTATGTTCATACCACCATGATACGCTTTCATCCCATATGGTATACTCTTATTTAATACCAATCAATACCATATTCTATAGACTAGTAAAAAATGACTCAATATTTTTTAAAAAATATATCAAATGTATATCATTTTAAAGAGCACAATTAATCATATTTATCTGTGCAAAATTTTTTTAATTCCGATTTAAAACGAGAGAGGACGCTGATGTCACGCTCAGGGGCGGACTCACTTACAAGAGTGGTTTGTCAATTGACAAACCTTACATGCAAAATTTGAACAAATCACTATTGTAAAATTTTATTTCAGTGATGGTAGTATATGGATTTAAAATTATTTGACAACCCTTAGTGATTTTCATTCATCGTTGAATACCCTTGATAAAATTTCAAGGTCCACCACCGGTCACGCTTATATAGACGAGATACTCAAAGGTCATAATTACGAATCCTAAGATTACTGACAAGATCTGCAGGTGCATGGGCGCTAGAGTTGGGACAACATAGGGTAAAATAGCTCGGGTACCACTAAAGTATGAGAATTGGGGGAGCCATACAACTTAAGTTTAAATAGGGTGTCGGGTACCACGGAACTCTATTATATGTGCACCCGGTACCACGTAAGTTTACTGCTAAGTGCATTCCGTTAAAGTTGACAGAATATTCTTAGAATATTCCATTTTCTAAATTTCAAAAATGATCCTTCTACTTCTTATTATTGTAAAAAATCCTTTGAACTTATGAAAACATCGCTTTTTATTGTTTAGTTGGAATCTTCTTTTAAATTATGATTATGTGTTCTAATAATTGAATTTTTCCTTGAAGAAATATATTCTATAAATTTTATCACGATATAAATAATCTGAGAATGTTATATTTAGTTCACTTGTAATTCTATAATATGATATTCTATTTGTTCCATATTAGTTAAATTTACTATTTCTAATTCTTTTCCTATAGTCATATTTTCTTTTCTATATTTGAAATTGAATGTTGTAGCTTTTATAGTTTACTTATTACTTGGTTACTTTCTGTCTCATTTCGTTCTAATTTTTTTCAATTAATGAAATATGTTTAATTTTCAAATTGTGTTCCATTTATCCTTCTTTGGTCTTGATGTATTGATGGTCAATAAGGTTTTATTGTAACTGATTTTAGTAGTACTTTTAATTGAATTATGTGTTTAAATAGATCTTCTAATATTTATTTTAATTATAGATTATAATCTTTTAGTATATTTATTATTCCTTCTTGATATTCATTTGTTATTTTTACTATTTTATCTATTATATTGTAAATATTTCATTAGCCATTCTAGTAGTACTATATTTAGAAGGTTCTCTAATTTTTATATTAGTTAATACTTTTTGAAATATAATTTTTGATGTTTTTAAAGTTTTGGGTACCTAAAGGTAATTAAAAGTTTGGGTTGGATGGAAAACTAGACGGATGCACATTTTGAAGACTTTAATAGTATTTGGCGCCCTATTCAAACTTAACTGGTATGTCTGCCCCAATTCTCAAATTTAAGTGGTATCTTAAGTATATTACCCGGACAACATAATACAAAACCCGCCGGCTGCTGATTTTGAAGACTTTAATAGTATTTGGCTTATTTGGATAATTTGTTTGGTTTGGTTTTAGACACTCCTAACCAATCAAACCAAATTATCCTGTTAAGTAAATAATCATAAATCATATATATATATATATATATTATATAAACATACTTAATACTTTGTTACACTACTCAAACTCAAGAGTAAAATGTAAGATAATTACATTTGTTACATGTATTTACGTTAAGAGTTAACTATAATTATGTGGATTGTTTTGTGTTATTCATTATATAAATTGCAATTTGATGCACTAACTGAACATTTTTATCACTTAATGGTAATGTGATGTTATATTGGTTATTTTGGTTAACCAATTAACCAAACCAATTAAACTTTAATTTGATTGTTATATTAATTTGGACAGTTTGATTATGATATTGTATTTCATGGTTAATAAAATTTAGACTTATTTGGTTTGGTAATTATCATGGTAACCATTTGAATACCCCTAAGTGGGAATGACAATGATTGATCAGCGAGTAGGGCTGGCAATTTGGTCCAGGACTGTTTGGTTTTACCCGAAACCGGACCGTATAACTCGGACCGGGACCGGATTGGGAGCGGATAGCAAACAATCCAATCTCATATTCGGGCTTAGATTTGAGGTAAAAAAACCCGGATAAAGACCGGATAAGAGACCCCAACACTCAAATACCCACAAGCTCAATCTAAAATCAAAATCAAATTGGGACCATCGGGTCAAGACCGGACCGGATCAAGACCGCAGTGTATCCAATCCAATCTTTGGTCCTTATATTCCCGAAAGACCGGACTGGGACCGGGTCAATTTGGTCCAATTTAACCTGACCGGACCGTATAGCCACCACCCCTATTAGCGAGCATGCTATTGTTCGAAATCGAGCAATAAAATTTTTAAACTTTCACGTCATTGTATACAACAAATTATAAGTCCAACATCTTTCACGATAAAATAGTCACTCTCTACAGCTCTATGAAAAACATCAGATTTTCCCTCTAATTCGTAGGGAATAATTAATTGGAACATGATACCCGATAGTGACCAACAACCCACTTGCGCGACTGACCGACTCGGATGCACGATGTACATGTGTGTGGTGTGAGGGTCACTTAGATCCTCTCTATTCAAAAAATGAGGGTAACCGCGAGGGCGACACCATTTGAAAAAATAAGCATATTTTTATTCACCTTTTGCAGGACTTCAATTAAAAAAAATCACTCGTATTACCGTGAATATAGTCATATACAGAGAGTCACATAGCTGAAAACAACCAATAACCAAATTAACCTCGCTAATGAGGGGAACAATGAAAGGTCTCTTGCTACCAAATGGGCAACCTTGTTACAAGCACGAGCCTCGCAGACTTCTAATCCCATCCAAAAGCATACCCCCAATGACATCAGAATCACTTGAGAATCATTTGCAAAAGTTATCGAATGCAACCCGCACGCCAACCACCATCGAATCGCATCCCGGAAGGCTAATAACTCCACAAAATATGGTTCTGTAATCCCCACGTATAATGCTGCTGACGCTGCCAACACTATGTTTGTGGGATCTTGCAGAACGCAACAGCTCGTGCCGTGAGAACCACTAGTCGTAGCACTGTCTACAAAATCACCAGCTCTCCTAGCGTAGTGTCCTCTCTACCCTAGCAACAGAACCCCCTGAGTAATGGCAAAAGCTCTCGTTGTTGGGTAAGGCCTCCCACTCTGCAACGTGCAAATGAAATTGAGAAAGCAACACTGGAACAATGTATCGAGTAAATTCTAAGACAACCCAGTTTTGGGCCTTCCAAACACACAAGAAAAGGGCCACAACACTCATCAGGGCACCCTGATCCAAATCTTGCCACTCGAGTAATCTGCGCCAAAAGATGGCAACATTGCTCAGAGGGAAGCAATCTCGGAGTCGCACTAGCTCTGCCCCTTCCCACAGCCCCACTGCCACTTGGCAGCGGAAGAAGAGACGTTCTAGAGTTCCACCTCCTCCCCGCAGACTGGACATTGTAGGACTTCATTCACCAATGTGATACTTAAAACTTCATTGTACCTTTAAAAAAAACTATTTATTTCCATCCATTTTTTAGATAACTTTGCAATATATTGGGATAAAAAGTCTTACTTGGTATGTATGGGGGTGGGCATGTGGGTGAGTAATCCGCGGTTTGGCATAGACTCACCTGCAAAGAACCCAATTAAACCACAGTGAATAGGTTATTGATTTGGATAGATTGCAGATCAATAAATCTCCTACCCTCATTTAGTGGATGGGTGATGGGTGGGTTGCAGGTCACCCGAATGACTCGCCACTCCATCTTTACATGAAAAATAGTTGTTTCTTATTTATACTAACGAATAGTGATTGTTCCTTAACCAACACTACAAATTGACCATCGACACAAAATAAAGAATATTTTGAGAAATTACTATTGGTCATTTTGTTGGGTAATGTCCATTGGATAGAGAGATGCAAATTATAAACTCTTAAGTATAAATTGTATCTAAATTGGAAGAAAAAGTGAACTTTCTCTACATAAGTTGTTTGATGAAATAATGAAAGATTTGATAAAAGTACTAGACATCTCTATATTGGCGGGAGGTGCCTAAATTGATGCAATCTTACTAATTTGTAAGGAATTTATTAGAAATACTAATCAACTTGCCTAATTACTAGCTAAAAGGATGCATTAGCGTATTAAACCATAACCTAGCCCGCACCCATCTGTCACCAACCCAACCCAACCCAATAGTAGTGTGGGGGTGGATTGTAAGAGCATCCACATTGGTATTGCATTCTCAATTGCAAAATGACATGGCATAGGTGTTTGCAATTGCAAACCCAATTGCATTGATATGGCTACCAATTGCATATTTGCAAGCTTGCAAGAAATGCAATTCCATATGCAAGTCAAAAAGCCTAAAAAAATGGACATTTTATACTTTATATTATTTTCTTTTCTGTTTTACTTAATTTTCTATAATTTAAACATAATATTTAATTACATTTGCAATTGCAAGTTAATTGCATTGATGTAGGTGAATGAAATGAATGTGATGTGGATTGCAAAAAATTTGAGTTGACAATAAAAAACACAAATGCAATTTCTTTTGCAATTGCATGGATGGAGGTGCTCTAAGTCATAATTGTACAAACTCGTTATAGTAAGCGGGTGAGTCAGTTTAACACCGAAACCTACCCAACCCACCCATTGTCTAAATATTTATCACTCAAAATAATGATTCAATGGGATAATTACAAAATACTTAATAATTAAATGTTTAAAGATAATGGTGTCACTAGTAATGCCGTTCAACTGAACCGATAGTTAAGGAATTGATGTGTGTGTTGATAAAGAAATCTCATCCCACTTAATTATCTCCCATTTTCTAAGGATATATTGTCCATCAAAGTGTGCTTCTCAACATAGCTGGAAAAGACAGGAAAATCCAAAACTATCACCATTAAAAAAAATTACAAATATAACACCTAACCCGAAAAAATTACAAAAGTACCACCATATTTTGAAAACCGCCTGGGCAAGCTGCGGTTTTGGTAAGAAACGCATGAGAAAGGAGCGGTTTGACCTAGGGCAGCCCAAAAATCGCATTGGGACGCGGCGGTTATGGGAACCGCTGGATCAAGCGACGATCCGAAGGCGGAACGCGCGTCACCTCAACAATCCGCGCCTGCCCATGAGAACCGCGCTTTAGATGGGCGGTTTGTGCGTTGGGGATTCCAAACCGTGGGCTTGGGAAGCGGTTTTTGTGGGGGTAAAATTACAAAACCGCCCCCTGGCCAGGCGGTTCGTGCACTATAAATACCCTCCTCCTCCTCACTTCTCCACACCACAACCCATTCTTCTCTCTCTCTCTATAAGTTTTTTCATTCTATCCATCCCCCTCTCCACCAAAAAACCAAGGGAATAGGGGTCTGGTGGTTGCGGCTAAGTCCGAACTGCCATCAGAAAACATTTCTTTGATTTTTCCTTCAAAGCCCGTCGAATCTCTATCCGACCTCCCGAAAAAATGGCCGATATTTTCAAAGAAGAGGGTGTTTATTATGATGACTATCAAGCGGTACATACTCATTTGACCAAAATTTTATTGTTGTTATTTATTTTAATCAATATACTAATTTTTTGTTGTTGTTATGCTATCGTAGGTTGGGGGACGTGGATATCTACGATCACCGATATTATGTGGAGCAAAGACCGATTGATCCATCCGTGCTATACGACTAACCTAACCATCGTTAAAGGGATGTTTGGAACGATCATGAGGTACTTATAATTTATCATAATTATATTTTTTTATTTTGTTAACGTAAATTAGTGGTTTGTTGGATAAATTTGTTAATTGTTAATTATATTGATTATTTTCAATAATTTAAAGCAATAAAATGTCCCACTTACTTAGACTCTTCTTAATGAGATGCATGCCCAAGGAAATGAGGTTTTAAGCGATCATCATGGTCCTCCCAAGACCTAAAAAAATCAGGTGCTAAGAGATCCTCGGATCCCCCCTTTTCTATAAAAAAAGGTTGTGTTTCTAAAAAGATGTAGACTTCTCATAAGAGTCTAACAAATGTACTTGTATTGTTTAAATTATTGAAACCAATCAAGGAGAATTTAAAAACAATATAATAAATTTATGTGTAAGTGTAAGTGTAAAAGTATTATTTGACGAAATATAACAAAATGCAATGTTATTTATTTTAGTTAACTTAAATATGTTTGTTTTATTTAAATTATGTATACATGACGAAAAAACCCCAATTTTGTTAATTTATATTGTTTGTTAAAATATATATATATAAATCATAAATTTATGGTTAAAGTAAATTTATTCGCTAGGAAGCACGCCGTATAGTTCGCTCTAGGAGTACGAGCAATGTGCTTCCATGGAACGACGTCACCTTGCCCTATTTAAGAAGGGCAAGATTGGATTCGATTAGACATTTCGTGGGAATAAAGATTGACCGCCAGCTTATCACATCATTGGTCGAGAGATGGCGATCCGAGACACATTGCTTCAACTTCTTTGAAGGCGAGTGAACCATCACACTGAAGGACATCGCCATCCTATGCGATTTGCCCATTGAAGGCGATGTTGTGTGTGTAGACGTTCACCCACAATCCTCATATCTTGATGAGATGGACAGATGGCAGTATTTGATATGGACCACCTTGGATTTGGTCATTCCTGCAAAGGGACAACATGGTGATGAAGATGGTCTTCCACCGATGAGTAGCCGCCAATGTTCCATCACCTAGCTGACAGAGGAGATCAAGAGGAAGCACGACCCTGTCCATGAGAATGGCATCCCCCTCACGGAGGAAAGTGATGAGGCGGACAAGGAAATCTATGCGCGTGTCTACCTCATCGGCAAAATCGGAGGAGTACTCTTCCCAAAGAAATCAAGCAACTTAATCAGCAATGGTTGGTTGAAGATCATCCTTGGTCCCTGGGAGGATATGGGGAACCTAAGCTGGGCATCCGCATGCCTAGCTCATGTCTAACACTCCCTCTGTGATGCAACTCCGAAAGAGGTAAAGGAGATTGGTGGGGCGATGTTCATCGTACAACTTTGGGCTTGGGAGCATCTGTCATGGATTGCGCCGGTCTCAGATCCCAACAAGGATTGGGTCGATGACCACCCATATAGACTCCAAGCTTATGGTTGTAGGTAAATTCCGATCTCAATCATTGCTCCAGTTTCTTTTGTTGTACTTAATGGTTAGTTAGTTATAAACATGGCATGTGTGTTGTGTAGAATTAATAAGGTGGCTTGGACAAACAACATGCGAAAACCTGGGGGAGCACAAACTGGAAGAGTATCGGAGGATGCTGGAACATCTTTGGAAAGCAGAGGTAACGATAAATAAACATTCAATTCCTTTGTTATTTTGTGCAGCTCATTTGTAAATTTATTGCTTTGTTTAATATAGTTCTCTTATTTGTAGCTAACATTCAATCTGTACTCTGACTGGGTCATTCAAAAACACGTCCACAAGTTCCTGATGCACCCCAGCCAATGGTGCACGCGAGTGCAACTCATTTGTAACCATATTATGGAGTGGCACTTGCCGGATCGATGCTTACGACAATTTGTTCGTGAGCAATCCATGACCTTATAAGTCCCCACAAGCCAAAAGTCGTATCACTGGAAAGATGGTCGCCAAGGTCCTTCAAATAGGCCAAATAAGTTGAGGAGCTTCATCGAGATCTGGAACAATAGAAGTTCTCATGAAGTTGTCACTCCAGCATCTGTGGGGCGGATGGGGTATCATGACCCATATCTAGAAAAGTATCGACGACAATCAGTCAGATACATGACGCCAGATAATGCGACAGATGGTGCTTTGGTAAGAAATTTCTTGCTCGATTTTTTGATTCACTTTTAGAGACATTTATTGTTAGTTTTTATCCAAATTAGTGCTATTACTTGCCTAATTTTGTGAAATGGTGTGTTTTAGGTTGACGGGCTCGAGCATATTCACTCTATATCCCGTAGTGGGGAGTCTTTGGGTCACCAAGAAGTGAGTCTCATTCAGAAGATCACGTGGGCGCGATCATCATAGATACCTTCCTTTGCCTCCTGTGCCCACCCCTCGAGTATCTACTGATGTACCCAACCCGCCACCACAAAGATAAAGGAGACTAAACAAGAGCACATGGGAACAACCATTCGTGCCCGAGTTCAGGCCGTTTCCCTCGTGGAGCATGCCATATCCTTTGTCACGATGCGGCTCGACTACTCACCACGAGCCTCCTATGGAAACTTACCACGAGCCTCCCCAGAGTTCTTACCACGAGCCTCCCCGGAGTTCTTACCACACGGATCCCCGAAGTTCTTACCACGAGCCTCCCCTAAGTACTTGGCACGAAGGCACATCATCGGGTACTTGGAATGATGATTCATCCTCTCATTCTCACCACGAATTCATGCCTTTGAACCAACCTCATCAACAATGGGCTACCCCTGCTCAACAACAATGGTCGACCACTCCCCATTGTATGAGCGTGGATGAACCCTGTCCGCAAATGAATGAGCCGCCGAGCACGATGCAACCTTGCCATAGCACGGATGAGCGTCCTCGTACGCTACCACCACGTCCATCCACTGCTACATGAGCGGACCCATCGCCTGTCGAACAAGGAGGTAGAAGGCTGATAGTCGAGGAAATGCAAGAGTTGGCATTATTTGGTATTGGTGTGGATCTTTTTTGAATTTATGATTGTAATGACCTTGTATGCCTTTAAATTTGAATGGTGTTGAATTGTGTGTTACTTGTTTTAATTTGAATATGATCGGTGTTGTTTGTTTATTATTCGTACTCAAGTTAAACACATTCTTATCCAATGACAATCGTGAGTTATACGACCCATTACATCGACTTACACACAAACTCAAACATTATGAAACGAAGACAACATAAAATAAATTAAAGGGACAAACTATGCGCCAGTATCCGAGTTGAGCACGTCAGGTCGTGGATTCTGAGGACCAATTGGTCCATGACAATTTCGCTTATCATGCCCTAGAACTTTACATATGGAACACCGCATTGGCCCTCGCGGTGGTCTTCCACTTTGATCCATCTCATTCGGAATCCTTTTGACACTCGGTCGACCTGGTTCACGCCTCTGCCCGAACGGTGGGATGATCACCTTTCCATCATATACTGGCCAGTAAGCTTCGTTTGGTAATGCACGGAAACTCCTTCCATAACAACTTTTAACTGAGTCCAGTTTGAAGAAAGGACTAACAAAGTGAAGGGGGTCTTTGCTCCTGTGTTTAATCACAGCCATTGCATGAGAACAAGGCAAACCTCTACCCTGATATTTATGGCAAGAGTACTCTCCTTATTTTGTTATGAAGTTGAACTATACTTCATGTTGATGCTCCCCATGTCTACCATCCTCCCAGTGCCCGATCTCGACTGAATACTCGCCAGCATCTCGATTCATAGCAGTTACCCTATGTCGACTGCTCTTATGGTTATCTTTTTCCAAGATCTCTATGGCCTTATCGGAATGGAACTTACCCTGTGCCTCCTTGGTCCGTGCCTAGTGTAGGCGATTGACGAACCATTCGTTTATTCTCTAGTATGTCATCTCCACAATTGCACAGATTGGTAGTGCACGAACATCCCTATAGGCGGAGTTTATACTCTCACTAGAGTTCGTTGTTGCAATACCCCACCTGGTACCTCCATCCTTATGAAAGTCCACATGGTTAGGTCATGTTGATCCAACCACTGCCCACCTTCAGGGCAAAGCTCACGGATTTTCTGCAAGTTCTCCCTCAATTTCTTCTCTTGGTATGCTACAACTGATGCATATATAGAAGGAAGGGTAAGGTAAGAGGTAGAGCTATACAACACTCGTTATACTCTTAGGAGAGGTCTACGTCTCCTTAGAAACACAACCATTTTGACAGAAAAAGGGAGGATCCGAGGATCTCTTAGAACCCGATTTTCCCAAGAAATGGGATGACCATTATGATCGCTTAAGACCCCATTTTCCTTAGGAATGCATCTCTTTACGAAGAGTCTAAGTAAGTATCATATTGTAGTGCAAATCTAGTTATATCAAAATTAAGGTTTAATACACTTGTATATCCAAAACTTTCACGGTTGTGCCAATAATATCCAAATTTTCCGAAATACCACTTATATCCACGTTTTAAAGTTGTTCTTTGCCAAATCTATCCATTTCCCAATATATTTTTGGTTAAATATACTTGTATATCCAAAAACATCGTTAAAGAATGTGAAGGAATTGGATATAAGTGGTATTTAGGGAAATTTGGATATTATTGGCACAACCGTGAAAGTTTTGGATATACAAGTGTATTTAACCCAAAATTAATTGGCCAATGTGGTAAAAACGCTTACAGGTCCGCCATAGACTATCAACAAGTTTCCTCCTCTAGAAATGACGGTTCCAATTGCTCTTGAAGTGTCGTATGCACCACTTCTGAATCCACTTCCAGGCTGGATCCAATCCTAAAATGGCGGCTCTGATCCCGGCGTGAAGATCAGAGATGATTGTCTGGTTCGTACTCCTGGTGATGTGGAGATGAATTTGCCGGAAAAACCATCCATAGGTATCGACATTTTCCCCCTCAACAATGGCAAAGGCTAAAGGGAAGACTTGTCTATTTCCATCTGCTCCACTGGCAATAAGGAGAGTGCCTTTGTACTTGCCGGTAAGGAACGTGCTGTCCACTTGTATCACAGGTACACAGAAGGGAAAAACATCAATAGATAGCTTGAAGGACCAGAAAAGACGTTTGAAATGGCGTTTGTTAATGGGCTCTGGCGGCTAAATTTCTTCATCTTGGTAGCGGGGGGAGAAAACCATGCCAGGGTTAGACGCCTTCAATGCCAAAATCAACTTAGGAAGGAATGCATATGATTCTTCCTAGTTGCCAAACGCGGCAGCAATTGCTTTCTGCTTTCCATGCTACGCCTTCTTATAGTTAATAATATATCCATAACGACTAGAAATGTCGCCGATGATGGCTTTAATCTTCAGGTCGAGTTGATGCTCAATTAGATGCTTGATAGCCGCAGAAACCGCTCTGGATTTCAACTGTCGATGGCCTTGGGATGTTATGGATGACATACAAGTGTGAGTGTTCATCGCACGAGATATGACTCAATGCCTGACTCTCTTGCTCTTGATAGCCCGGACCCTAGCCTTGCACCCATCGTGTTGATTTTGGCATCTAACTATGAGTCTCTTCGTGTCGGAATGAGTTGTGAACCATTCAAAAATCTGAGTCATTTCTTCGGTTTCAATAGCGTGCCACACCTCCTTATTTGTACCAAATTGTTGACCCTTCGTAAACCTAGTGAGTGGACGCATACTGGCACCTCTGGCGGCCCCACGTCGGCATCAACATACCAATCTTCATTTGGAATATGGTGGTAGTACGGGATACGTACCCGATCACGAGACACCTAATCATCATCTGAGTCTAAAGCAGCGACTGAATCATCGACACCTTCAAGAGGGTCGAAGCTGTCTGCACTAACATCACCTTCCTCTCTTCATCCTCGGAATTGCCGAATGGTCCTGGGAGGACATCTTCCATCTCATCAAGATCATGAAAGGCACCAACATCATCTCTGTAATGGTAGTTGTGATAACTACCACTGCCTGCATGAAAGTCATACTTGGACTTCTTCTTCATATGATGGAAAGGATTGATGATGACCTCCGCCTCCTTCTTGATAATCATTGCAGGAATGACGATCATGGTAGCTTTGGTAGGGATAATCTTCATATAATCCCCCTCCACCGTGGATACCAGATGTTTGGCCTTCTCCATAATAACCTCAAGCGCCTTCGACCGGCTTGGTGTAAATGAACATCTCTGCTTTGGAAATGTTATTGGTGGTCAAAAATTCAACCACGGAATCTACTTCCGCCTGAGTGGTTATGAGGAATTCCTCATGGCACAACGCCACGCCTTGTCTGTTTGGATATCGATACACCATACTGTAAACTCTCCTTGTGCCACCCATGCAAGTAACCTCAGTACAAATTCGATGCGGATCTTTAAGGTTCAGTCTCGTAGCAACCCTCCCTTCCGGTCTCTTCCGTATAACCATTCCACCGTAACCCAAGTGTGAACTTTTGGAATGCCGTCTGCAAACAAACTGTATTTCCGTTAATACTACGAAGTATTTTCAAAATCACTATATGATAATACAAATCAAACTTACGAAATAATGTTAATCGCAAAAAACTCAAAAAGGTACAAAGGCAAAACAGATTGATAAGAAGAAGAATAAGGAAGGAGGTGTTGTGAAGTTTGGAGGGTTTCATATATGCCTTTTATAGAAAAATTGTCAATGAAAACCGCCCCTCCCACCAGCGGTTTTCAATGTCACAAACCCTACCTCCTCTGATCCCTGCATGCTGACATGTTGGGTGCCTGGGGGGGGGGGGGGGACAACACAAACCGCGCCTTAGGGAGGCAGTTTTAGTGTCGAGAAAGGAAATCGCTTGTTGAGGATGCGGTTTCTTTGTCGACAAGCAAATTGCTTGTTAGGCTGGCGATTTGTAGTTAGGGCAGCCATGAAACCGCCTCCAAATCAAGCGGTTTCATGTTCGATCAAGAAACGCTTCCTTGCCAGGTGTTTATCGGATGAACCGCGCCCCCTAGTGCGGTGTTCAAAATTGGGTGGTATTTTTGGAAATATTACGGGTTAGGTGGTATTTTTTTGTAATTTTTTTTAATAGTGGTGTTTGTGGAAAAATCCCTGGAAAAGACATCCACTGATAATTCATATGTAATAATTTAATAAGCCACAATATCAATACAGAGATGGATGGCCATGAGACCCCCTTTCTTCGCATAGTGGACAATCCTCCATTGGTTAGTACTAACCTTATCCGTCTTTAAACAAAGTGTTGAGAAACTTCTAATTATTTAGTTATGATTACTTTTTTCGGTAATTATTAGATTTTCATTTAAGAGCGTGTCTTGGCCAAAGCAACGCAAGAGTTCGAAAAAAATACAAGGTATAAAGCCAAACAGTTTACTCTCCTGACAGAAGGAGGAAACACCAAAACGAACTATAATACTATTGGTATCTATAACTCGAAATAGATTGGGAAAACATCTTATGTGTGTTTGGAACTCTGTATTCCCACAACTGAACAAAAATACTTCTTCCCTCAAACGTGCAACAAGACTCGCCGGTGAACGAGGAGAGGCCCCAAACACTCACCTGCAACGCTCCTTCTAGAGAAATGAAATACACCAGCACCATAATGAAGTCTCAATAAAACTCTTAGCATCTCCCATCTGTGCACGATCACACACAATCTGCAACATATCCTCCCACAAGAGGGGAAGCTGCATGCTAGTTCTCATCACTGTCAAGACAAAGAGAATAGAGTACTCACACTCACAAAACAAATGTTGTCTCGAGTGACAATCCCATCCAGATCACCAACCAAGTCAGCAAACGACATCGGGGGAGAGTGAACTTGCCCCATAAGGCCATGAGGCCGTCGCACGCCGTTCCAAATACTGGCGTCACAAAAATTTTCTTCGTGACGAGCCGTCGTAAAAGCTCTTTTGCGACGGCTAGGCGTCATCGCTAATGAGTCTTCAAATTGACGAAATACACACCTTTGTTTTTCTGAAGACAAAGAATCATCGGAAACATTAATAATCGTGTCAGTAATAAATTTAGTTTGATGAAGATTGACAACATTGTAAGTTTTTTTGACGACTCATAGTCGTCGCTATAAGAAATAATGTTATCAATTATAAATTTTTTTGGACGATGTTTACTGGTATTTGGGACGATTGAATGTCGTTTTATCACTTTTTGTTTATGAAATGTGATTGTCATAAGTATTTAAATTTGTGACAAAAATAGAATATATTGATTTTCAGGTAATTTGAATATTTTAACATTCTAAATATTCTAAATGGCCAATATTTGATAAATACAAAATATAGACATATGAAATCCAAAGACATGACACCAAGTCCAAAAAAAAAAAGAAGAAGCAAAATATCAATCTTGATTGCTCTTGTGTGCTTCAATCTTGATTGCTCTTTTTCTTGATCATCTGAGTTGTATCCTTAATTGTCATCTGAATCTTCTTCTTCGCTAATTTTGTCCACCCTCTCGTGATGCTTGCGTCTATTTCCAGCCTTGTTAGAATTTCTTGACTTCCCTTCTAAGAGCACAACACAAAATTAATAAGGGTATGGAGGAATGCAAAACAAAATGAACCCGATAACTCCAAAACATATATCCAAAACAAACGAAAACCCATGTTCAAAGAGTTCTTTATTCCTCTCGTACAAAGAACATAGAAAGCCAAAACTAACCAATGTTCTGTTTCTTACTCTTGTTCAAGAACCCAAAACCCCAAACAAACGAAAATCAGAACCCTTGTCCTGCTTCTTCTACTAATTCAAAAACCTAGAAAAGCCAAATCAAACAAACCCTATAACCCAATCAACTCGAACAAATTGACCAATTGGTGTAAACAAATTTTACAATCACCATGTATAGAAATGGGTGCTTGATTCTCGAACCCATTATGCCCAGCTCGATCCCTTCGCCAGAAGCCCAAAATCGCCTACATCTCCAACTCCATTCGCCACAAAACCTAGAAACGCAAGCTAAGAAAGCAAAATACCCATCATCGCAAGACTTTCTTGTAGAAACAAGGAACGACAACAAATTTCTTCACCTCTGCTTACAGTAGCAACCCTGAAAAGTAAGGGGAGGCGAATCGGAACCCTTGTGCTCGTCGATCTCCGCCGCTCCTCCCAAATCAGACAACGACCAGCGCACCTCACCATCACCAACACAATAATCAACCCGCCGTCGCTCGTCCCCGTCGACGCCGTCTATAGATCCGTATAAATACCTGCAACATAGAAAACAAATACAGAATCGTAGGGCAGAGCTCGCATGCATAGGGAAATAGGCAAGCAGCGGTGTCGCTGGCAGGAAGAAGGATGTAGGAGTCGGAAGGAGGATCTAGTGGGCAGGAGCTCGTCGGAAACTCAAAATCGCTACCATCGATCTCCATCGCTGATAATTGTCGAAAACATATTGATTTTGTGTGCTTAGTGTGATTATTACATGATATGTTTGCGACATATAATGCTTGTTTTTGGGTTCAACTAATCCTGGAATGGTTATAAAACCATTACCGTAGAGTGCCAAATATTTTATTTGTTTCAGGTAAATGAAATGAGAAATTGGCATTGTTGAATGGAGTAATTCAAATGGACCGGATGGGCTTTTCTTGAAGCTCGGCTGGGGAATTAACTGGACATCCGTAATTACATGGATCGGGCTAGAGAGATGAGAGAAATTGGACGGGCCAGGGGATTTTCTTTGGACACGGAGAGAGGGCGGAATTAATGAATTGGCGGCGGAAACAATAATTGCTGGGGACGGAATCAATAAGTGAGAGGGATTTTTATTGGCCACTTTTAATTGGAAGGGAATTCTCAGCGGTGAAGGAACGAAAGGAATTTAGGGGGGGGGGGGGCAAGGATTGGAAGGGGAAATTCTTGGGAGCGGAATTCTTTTTGGAAAAGAAGAAGAGGAGCGCAGCAAGGCTTGTCCCGCGTGAACAGCAGAGCGGCGATTTGGGATTTTGGCGAGCAGCAGTTCGGCGAGTGACATCTCTCAAGGCAACGTGAACTATTAACAAAAACAAGTTATTTGGTTGGATTTTCTAGTCCGGATTATTTGTTTATTGTTAATTTAGAACATGATGATCAAAACTATCCTATCCAGATTAATTCACATATTCCAATCAATTTAATCCAACTCTCTACAGTTAGGAATTAGGATATCTAGAAATTGGGGTTTAGTTCATGATGAAACAGAGATAAATCGATATAGTTTTGATCATCATGTTCTAAATTAACAATAAACAAATAATCTGGACTAGAAAATCCAACCAAATAACTTGTTTTTGTTAAAAGCTCACGTCGCCTTGGGAGATGTCACTCGCCGAACTGCTCGCCAAAATCCCAAATCGTCGCTCTGCTGTTTGCGCGGGACAAGCCTTGCTGCGCTCCTCTTCTTCTTCTTCTCCAAAAAGAATTTCGCTCCCAAGAATTTCCCCTTCCAATCCTTGTCCCCCTCAATTCCTTTCGTTCCTTCACTGTTGAGAATTCCCTTCCAATTTAAAGTGTCCAATAAAAATCCCTCTCACTTATTGATTCCGTCCCCAGCAATTATTGTTTCCGCCGCCAATTCATTAATTCCGCCCTCTCTCCGTGTCCAAAGAAAATCTCCTGGCCTGTCCAATTTCTCTCGTCTCTCTAGCCTGATCCAAATAATTACGGATGTCCAGTTAATTCCCCAGCCGAGCTGCTTCTATGGCCGGTTCATTTAATTCAAGAAAAGCCCATCCGGTCCATTTGAATTACTCCATTCAGTAATGCCAACTTCTCATTTCATTTACCTGAAACAAATAAAATATTTGGCACTCTATGGTAATGGTTTTATAACCATTCCAGGCTTAGTTGAACCCAAAAATAAGCATTATGTGTCGCAAACATATCATGTAATAATCACACTAAGCACACAAAATCAATATGTTTTCGACAATTATCACTCGCATTCGCTGGACAGGAAAGAGAAAGAAAAGAAAAACTTAAGGAAGAAGAAGAGGCGGCGTAGTGGGGAAAAGGATTTCGAAGAAGAGGAAAGAAGGGTATAGAATTAAAATTAAAGTGGTGGGTCACAATTTTTTGGGGGAATTATTTCCAGTGTTATTAAAGCTGAGCCGAGCCGCTCGGCCCGACCGGTAAAACCGCCACCCGGTCACAAAATCGGCTCGGAATAGTCTAAAAGCCGCTCCGGTTTTATGTAGCGGTTGGCGAGCGGCCGAGGAGGTTAGCCATTCGAGCCGATCGAGCCGCTCGTCCGGTTTTTGCCATTCAACCACTAAATTTAATTAAAATAATTGTAAAAAATTGAAAATTGAAATAAACCAAAAACGTCGGGCTCTCAAATTGAATCCTTATTTCCATTTCACAATTTTGAAGGAAAGAGATAAGCTCTGATTAAGAAATGTCCACTATTTATACTGATAACTTTTATTAGGTACCGGTTCTCTAACGGTTTTTAAACGGTCTAATGCTGGTTGGACCACTAAAGTACGAGCCGTTCGCATTACCGGGTCATGCTCCGGTTCGGTTCTGACAACATTGATTATTTCAATTGTAGAAGAGGAAGAGTGGGCGGGCTGGCAAATTTTGAGAGGGCGAGTATGAGTTATGATTTTTGTATTAGTAGTTTAGTGGTTAACTTAGAATACAATGTATTGATAATGATATTATAGGGTATATGGTTATGATTTTGATTAGACTTAGTTACAATTCAAGTCACGGCAAAATATTAATTAACAAAATCATAACTCATAAGATCAAATTCAGTATTAACATATGTTCATAAATCAAAGGATTTATCATTAGGGTATAAGGTATTGATGTTTAGGGTATAAGATATTGTTAAGGGTTTCTCCATTTTTCGTTGTGAGTTTTTATTTATCGAATTCCTATTCGTCGCCCTAAGTGTTTAAATTTATCGCCCTAAACTTACATACATGGACGAGGTTACCCCTCATTTAACCTAAACCCTAAATTGACCCACCCTGCCGTCCCTTACCCTGTTCTCCCCAAATACTCAAAAACAAAACTCTCACCCAGACCCGCCGCCACCCTAATCTGCCGCCATCCAGACCCGTCGCCGCCAGCATCACCCAGAGCTCCGGCGTCAGCCAGACCCGGCGCCATCCAGAAGGAGAGGAAGTCGCCGCCAGACCCGGCGCCACCCTAATCTGCCGCCGTCAACCAGACCCTCGCCCAGGCTCGCCTCCACCACCAAGACCCGTCGCCACCACCCAGACCCATCGCCGCCAGCATCTTCGCCCAAGCCCATATCCGCCTCACTGTCGCCGAGGAGGAAGGAGAAGCCTCCAAATCATCGTCCGCCTCTAGCCCTCTACTTCTGCTCAGACCCGCCAGAGGTAAATCTCTATCTCCCTCTCTTCTCGTTTGGGCGTCGACGTTGCGGGTTGAAACCCGTCGCTAGTGGCTAGAGGCAGGTAGGGCGTTCGATTTGGGTCGGGGTAGACGCAGGCAGGGCACCCGCGCGGATCCGGCGGAGCCAGGTAGCCCACCTGCCCCGACCCTGGTCCGATCCTGTCCCGCCCTGACCCTGGTACGACCCGGTCTCTGACCCGCCCTGACCCTGGTCTGACCCGTTTTCCGACCCGTTTTGATTTTTTTTCAATTAAAATGCAAATGTTATTGATTAGAATGTTCATTTTAATTAATAATATATAAATTTGAATGGTTAATTATAATCAATATATGACCTTTTATAATGGGAAGGAAGAAAAGAATCTGGGATTTTGTTGCGGTTGTTGTTTGATGAGGGATGTTAATTAGCATTTGACAATATAAGTAGTGTTCGAATTGATAAAGTTGTGGATTGTTAATAATGATTATAAATATTTAATGAATATAGGGTTGTTAATTGCAATACTAAGAAGAATTAATTTTATTTTCTTGATAGTTGGTAAAAATAAGCGAAAGAAAGGGTAAGAAGTAGTATATTAATTGTGATGATTAATATAATTAGTATTTGACAATATAATTAGTATTGGAATTCATTAATTTTATGGTTGTTAATAATTATTATGTATAGTTAAAAAATGTATGGTTGTCAATTACAATTCTGAAAAGAAATAATTTTATTTTCTTGATAGCGGGCAACAATGAGCGAAAGAAGGGGCAAGGAAAAGTCGAGGGTTCTCGGACGCAACTTTACAGTATCTGAGCAGAAAAAACGTCAGGAGGAGTCAGATAGACTTCGTGAGGAGGAGCGTCAAGAGAAGCTTTGGCATCGTCAAGCTGCAGTTGATCCTCCCCTTCATAGCCATGTTTCCCAGCCGATACCAGGCATCAACACATATGATGACATGGTGGAGGATGACGATAGCAGTGATGATGAGTGTGATGTGGAGGTTGATGACGAGTTGTCTTTTCATGAGTTGCTTTTCGATGGTCATCCCTGAGGTGGCTCCAGTGGTCCGGGGGCGGGTTCGAGTGATCATGTGTCTACTGGCTCGACCCATGGCAGTATTCTTGTTGGGCCGCTACGCGGCAAGGATGGGCGTTTAGCTTCGTCCACTGATGGGAGCAGGCCTTCACGAAATAAGAAACCGAGGGACGAGACGTGGCTGCTTACAAAAGAAGCTCCAGGAGACCCTAGGGATATCAGTTCGATCCCTAGTTTCGGTGGTCACATAGCTCTTCGCTTGTGGACATCGGGTTTGGATGCTCGGGTGATGTCTGTTTTCCAGTTCTACGCTCGACAGGGTGGAGTGGATCGACTGAGGACGTACGAGTTTGGGACCCCAGGTGCACAGGGCTTGGTTACAGCATCAGGTTTGGACCACTTGAGTAGATGCATGATGCATAATGTGGATTTCCCACTTTTGAAGGCGTTCGTTGAGAGGTGGCAGCCGGATACCAACACATTTCACATGTTGTTTGGGGAGATGACGATCACTCTGCACGATGTTGCGTTCCTCCTCAAGATTCGAGTGGATGGTGAGCTACTTGCTGCACCGGCTAGGGGTGATCCGTTGTTCGTGAGTGGGATTGTTGACCTTCTTGGTATTTCTGATAAGAATGAAGTGGCACTGCCATCGCGTGGCCTCCGTTGGTACGAGGGTGGTGGGATGTTGGTAGATGAGGCCATGGCACGTGTAAGTGCTTCGAGGGATGAGAGTGCAGATGCACGGTGTTACCTACTGTGTTTGATCGGGTCCACGCTTTTTGTGGACAAGAGTTCTGATCGTGTTCGTGGATGGTTATACTCTTACTTCAGAGATTTGGCGATGGTTGGTAAGTATGCATTTGGTGCTGGTGCGCTTGCTTGGATGTATAGGCAGCTTGGGAGATCTAGTCGGGCAGGTTTTGGGGGATTTTCTGGGTGTTTTACTTTGCTACAGGCTTGGATTTACGAGTATTTTCCATCGCTGCGCATCAACAGACGTGCACCGGAGCCCATGACAGAGGGAGGCCCGTTTGCTAGGAGGTGGGAGGGTTCTATTCGTGGAGGGGATTTACAACGAAGGTTGGATCATTATCGTCGGCTGTTGGACGGATTTACAGCAGCCCACGTGGATTGGCTTCCTTTTGGTGCTAACCCTGGTCGTGCAGAGCCTAGATCTTTGTATCGGGGTGTGATACGTGTCTACGAAGTTGCTGAGACATACGATCCCTCACGTGTCCTCCATCAGTTTGGCTACAGACAGGTGATTCCTGATCTTGTTATTCTACCATGTGATGTCATTCGACATGTTGTTGGGACCTATAAGGTCATCTTTGGAGCAGGGATTGATCAGCTTTGGGAGACTCGCGGTCAGTTGATCAATCTGGATGCCTTCTCCACACCTTTTGATGAAACCGGAGATGTTGACCCATTGTACCTTAAGTGGTACACAGAGCGCACCCACCTACACTTTGTCCCCTCCAGATATGGTGAGCAGCAGGAGTCGGCGCCATTGACGTATGAGATTGTAAGTTTGAATTATTTTTTTTTTTTTGGTTTATTGATAGTGATCTCTTGCTTTTCGTTTTTGTAACACTTAAGTTTATTCATTGGACATTGCAGCTAGCGTGTCAGATTATTGATGGCATTGATCTCTTGCTTCGTGCTCCTGATGAGGATCTTGACAAGTTGGTACCCTATGGTGATTTGGTTCGACGGGTTTGTGACAAGTACGTTGACATTAGGCAACATAGACCGTATCGCCCATTCGCCTAGTAGTTGTTCAATGTTGAACATTGTTGTTTAGATGTTGAGTTCTAGTTTGTTTGTGTTTTGGATGGTGGATATTTTATGTTTTGATGTTGGATATTTGTTAAGGTACATTTGGATGTTGGATATTTTATGTTTTGATGTTGGATATTTCTTAAGGTTGATGTTGGATATTTGTTAAGGTACATTTGGATGTTGGATATTTTATATTTTGATGTTGGATATTTCTTAAGATTGATGTTGGATATTTGTTAAGGTACATTTGGATGTGTTATGTTTGAGTGTTTATATACTAATTATAATTTTTAACCACTACTTATATATCTAACAAAAACACAACAAACAACCATTTTTAATGAACATCACACAAAATTACCTGCACCATCGGGCGGGTAGGGAATATGGCTCAACCAGCGGTCAGAAGGGTAGAAAATATGGCTCGACCTCCGGGAGGGCGGGTAGGATATATGCCCTCACCTCCAGGAAGGCGGGTTCACAACATGCTTTGTCCACGGCCTGAGCTGGGAGGGTATATTCCTGCACCATCCGTCAGGTGAGTGTGCAACATGCTCAACCCACGATGAAGATGGGTAGGTGAAATCTTTGGTCCGTGGTGCAGGCAGGCTTTCAACCTGCCTAGTCTGTTTTTTAAGCAACAATAACTGTGAACACAATTGATTAATTTCAACAAAATCAACATAAATTTGAACACAATATCATTGATTAATTCCACCTAAAACCACATACATTTTAACAAAAAATGTCAATCCTTGATAATTGCACCTAAATCCACACAACTTTGAACATAAACACACACTAAAACATCAATAACATAATCAATCTTAGGCAACAATATTTAATCATTCTCTTCATCGTCAGTGGGTGGATAATGTCCTCCAAGGATGGCATACAATTTCTGGTCCTGTTGGTATAGCTCACCCCAATGCGGAATTGTGCTCATATTCCGAAAATGAGTCCATTGTGGACTAAAATATGGCATCGGTGTCACCCCATCGACATTGTCGAGAACTAGTCGGACCCAATGAGCCCCAGTAAAGACCATTGGCAGAACATAACTGGGATGAGTGAACCCTGGCGGCGCCGTCATAGGTAAGGCGGTGTACCCATAAGTGCGCTCTCGCTCCCCCTGCACTCCATATACGACAATTGCCCAGTGAAGGTGTTCTGCTCCTCGATGTCCTCGGACTCTGATTTGCTCTGCTCGTCTATGCCGACCTTGTTTTCTCATGCTCAAACCAAGAAGGATCTCGAGTGTTGCTCCTCCTAGGTGGTCGTCCCTTTGGAGCCTCTAACTCTTTAGGCTCTTGTAGGCCTTCAACTTGTGGAAGAATATGAGGACGTAGTACTTGAGTTGCCTTTCGGATAACAGCTGGCCCTTGCTTGTACACATCTTGTACCATGGCTGTAAAAATATCACGCTCAATGGCATCGTGATCTTCCCATTCTGCAAGATCGGGAGGACTCTCATACACAAAGATGACCAGAATGGATGTAAGTGGTGGTGGTGCAACTCCACGCCAGCAGCACTCAATTCATCCATCTTACATTTACATGTTAGGCCATGTGTTTCAGGTATCCAACATCCACATCCCTAAACAATTGTCCTCTCTCGTTCTTCCATCAGTAACTCAACTACCCACAAGCTCCCTGTAGTATTCAGGTTAACATATGGTGGTCCATAGGCTAATGCAAACACCTATTCCAAAATCATGAATTTCTAATAAAAAATCAAATTGAGGATATAGGGAAATGCCAAATTAAATAAGCAAAAAGAGAATACCTTGGAAAGTGAATCCTCCAAGTCCTTCCTCAATTCAATCACTCTTCCGTTGACGGATGTGTGAAACCTGAGGAAGAGTGTATCGATCTTGTGGGTCGAAGTGGCAAGCCATTTCTTCAGGGAGGAATGCATCGACTCTACCCTATTTGTGCTCGTGTTACCGATATGGAAGATGCGATTGGTGTAGCAATTTGCCCACCTTTCCCTGCATGGCAATCACTCACCTCTCAAATAGTCCATTAACTTGTTGTTTGAACCCCAATGACTATTTTGCAACTCTAGCTAACGACGTTGGAACCCTGCCTCAGTATTAGCTCGCAAGACTCTCTCCCATAGTAAATGAGCTGAAGATGGAAAGATCTATTGAAAAGAGAAACCCAATCCTCCCTCCTTGTCTGTGACGAACGCAACCGGGGTTCGATCACCAAGCACAATCTTCAATTGCATCAAAATCCAAGCATATGTCTCCTTCGTCTCATCTGAAATCAATGTGAACCCAATGTTGAAGTTCTTCTTCACCAGACTAACACCAATCAACTGAACCAGTGGCTGCTTATACTTGTTAGTCTTGTACGTCGAGTCTATCAAAACAACAAAATACCATGCCAACAACATCCGAATCGACTCAGGATGGCATAGGAAGAGTTTAGTAACACGACGCTGATCATCAAATTCACACTCAATAAAGTAGCCAAGATGTTGAGCTTCTATCAATGTCCACCGCATAGGTTTCAACCCACCCAATCTCTCACGCCTAATTTTTGCTGTCTCATTATAAATCTGAGTCATGTTGTGATGAGCATCGTACTTCATATTGAGCAAACTTCTGATATCTTTCGCATGAGTATGTGTTGCCTCCAACTCCTTAATATTCATTTTTCCACCTGCGAAAGAGCATTCTTTTGCCTGCTTCCCTCAGAGTAAACCTCCAATCTGTGACTGTGAAATCCCCTCTACTTAATCCCATGAATTCTCCACTTACACTTGCCATGTATTTTTACGGATTGCACCACCACTCGGAAACGACAACCTAACTTGCCTGTTGTAGATTTGCTCCGTGTTGTCTTTGCGAGATCAGACGTATATGAGTTGCTCCTACTACCATGGTTGCAATCCATATAGATCCGCGGATTGCCTTCTTCTACGTTTCTCTTGACTGATGCCACTATCAAGGAAAAACTATTACTCATGGCAATCTCCTTTGCCGCTTTACAAACTTGATCATGGGTATCATAAACATCACTTAGAAAAATGATGTGCAATCAACATTGTCACCCTCATTAACTCCGGATCCACCCTACAAGAAATACAAGGTAAAAACATTTAGTTGTGCAACAATTATGTTACGATAATTAAATTATAAAAAATAACTACTTACCGAATCATCCATAATAGTTTCCTTGTTAGTAAATGATGGTGGCACAAGATTTTTATCCTCCTTCCTAATAAACACAATAAACAACGAAACTTAATGAACATAAATATTATAATTTATGTGAATTTTCATTAAAAAAGGTCTATGACATCACAAAATTAACTCGAGCATGTTCAAAACTAGACCAGACCGAGGGACAGGCATGTTAAAAACAAGAAAGAACCGTGGGTCGAGCATGTTGAAAACATGCCTAGACAGGAGGACGAGCATGTTGTAAACATGCTTAGACAGGAGGACGAGCATGTTGCGAGCATTCCTGGAGGATGGAACGGGCAGGTGGACAACGCGTCCGTTCCATGGCTGATGCAGGGTTTCAACATGCTTGACCACCGGTCGAGGCAGATTTTCAACATGCTCAACTTGTTTTCCAGAAGAAGAAAAAATTGCAAACGAAATCTTACCTTTAGTCAGAGTCCCTGCATGCTATGACAATCGAGACCGACTACTTCTCTTCCTCCGGCAAACTCGCCGGAATCCGGCGAAAATTTATCAATGTAGAAGATTGTAGTTGGATTTTGTGTTGTGTGGTTTGGTTTTAATTTTTGGTTTCATATTTCTGTTTTGTGTTGGAAGAAAGAGTTAAATGGGTTGGTTTAGATGGTTGGAGCACTAATTCTAGGTGGTTGAACCATAAAATTAAATGAAGGGTTGTTTTGTAAATTTGTATGGTTTAGGGCGACAAAATTTAAAAATTTAGGGCGACGAATAGTAACACTCTTTATTTATATGGTTAATAATACTCTTTAAGTTGTTGTTGTATTAGGATTATTGGATAAAAAATTGAAAATGTTAATATCACTGTAACTATTAGCTAGTATACTTTACCCCTCCTAAACCCTAAGTCCTTCTACAAACCACCAACCTTATGCATCAATCTATCCACCTACACTACAATGTCATTTGAAAGGCATAATCACTACAAACTCCACTAATAACAGTAATTTGTAGCTATGAAATTGACCGGCCCTCGCAAATTTTTGTCACTAATAACTATCTTTACCGACAATATCTATGTTTTGCCACAAATGCATAAATCGTCAACGAAACATTATAGATGAAAGAGGAATATCGTCCCTATAAGTCAATTTTTAGCAAAGAAATTGATCTGCCCTCGCTAATTTTGTCACTAATAGTAGGCTTTACAGACGACGTTTAAGCTTTGTCACAAAACACAATGTCTTGACATAACATTACTTACGACCAAATTTTATTCGTAGCAAATAACCATGGCACCAATTTTTTCCTCCAAAAAATAGTGTTAGTGTTTGAGCCTAGAATGTTCTAAGCGGTTATGGGGCTCTGATCTGGAGTCCTTTATGTGGTCTCCTCGAGAGTGGAAGAACCTGTGAGGCGGGGGGCGGCCCCCGTGATCTACGCTCCGACGCCCAAGTTAGTACGATATAAGAAGCGGTTTATGGTATGTAGAGAGATAAAGGTAGAGAGAGACCTTAGGAAAAAGTGAGGAAGGGGAGAGGAGGATCTTTAGTTTGGAGGGTTAGGCCTCCTTATATAGGGGTTGGGCTTCCTTAAGTGGACTTGGGTCCAAGACGCCTTGCGGTGGGCTTGGGCCCGTTTATAGTCGTGTTAGGCATATTAATCCATATCCCAACAGTTAGTGACAAAGATTATGGTCTTTAACGACAACGCCAACGCTTTGTCACAAATAAATAAGTCATTGACGAAACATTATTGACGAAAGAGGAATATCGTCCCTGAAAGTGATTTTTAGCGACGAAATTAACCAGTCATCGCTAATTTTTGTCACTAATGACACACTTTTTTGTAGTGTATAGTGGTAATCAAGGTCGTATTCTACTCGGGTCTCGGTACCCTAACCTACTTCCCTCCTATTTGCTAATTAGTTAATCGATTTTTGGGGTTTTGAGTGGAGGATATAAGGAAACACTAGTCTAGAGATTGATCAAAGCTAAAAGCAGGTACTTTAGGGAACTATTTATCCCCCTAGCTTAGGGTTACTATGCATATCTAGATACTTAGTGTCATCGAATGTGGTGAGTGAGCTCTTTTCCGTGGGCTTTCGTGGTTATCCAAACGCCTCCGAGTATGCCTCCCCTAAACCCATGTTCCAATTACCTCGATCTAGGCTATCGTATCTGGGGAATTGAGCTTATGGCTCATTTCAATGGACACTATCCACCGTCCACACCGAGGTTTCATCCCGGGTTTAATATAAGAAGGCTACCTATAGCAGATGTTCGTTCGCCTCGACCACTATAGGCCCCCATTCACACATCTTACCTAAACTCATTAGTTTGCACATACCCTTCTAACCCTAGAACTCCATACCCAACGCGGTAGCATAAAGTAGGCTAAGAGGGAAGATTAGGGTAAATTAACCATGTGTCATCATTTAGGAAAGAGTGACATTAAAATCAACTAGACAAACACATTCATTCATTCAACCCCTAAAATATCCATATATACATAGTAAACCCTAAAACTAGGCTTTGGGGTTTAGAACCCCTAGTACCTTAGAAGACTACTCCATAAATGAGGGAAGAAGATACATGGTAGAAATAGAAGACTTGGGGTTGAAGAGGGTGCCTCCTTGGTCCTAGCTCCTCCTTCAGCTTCTCTCTCTTCTCTCTCTCTAAAACCATGAAATTCCTCTCAAACCCAGCTCACTTCAAAGGGGGAAATGTGTCTTGTATTTATAGGCATTCTAGACTCGGGGAAGTTCGTGGCTCAAGGATGGGAGATCGCATGCGGGATCTTCTAACGATAGGTCGCGATCTCAAGACGATGTCGTCATGGCCTTATGAAAGGGGGAAGATCGTGGGCTGACTTCATGGTCGCGATCCAAGAGTCGTGGCTGCGATCTTCCTAGCGGGAAAACTGAACGTTGGCCATGCTACGACTGGGGAAACTCTACGCTTCTCGAAGGCTCCTTCCACACAAAGTTCGTGCCCTGAGCCTTCAAGATCGTGGTCGCGACTTGTGATCCCGACCATGATCTTTGGCTTCTAGGCCACGATCTTCAATTCATGCACTCTCTCTACACTTGTGACCTTGTTTTCTACCTAAATTCGCACATATCGAATAATACACCGTAAAATGACATCAAAATCAAATAGGAACGCAATAGGGATGTATTTGATGATTTTCAAGCATTTAAACACATGGATTGCTACAAAACATCCTAGATATGCAGGGTAAATAACACCAAATTTGGTGTTATCAAACTCCCCCACACTTAGTCGTTTGCTTGTCACCAAGCAAACCTACTCAAACCTTATGCAATATGATAGACAAATCAATGAGGTATGCATGCTAGTTCTTCATTACATAGATGAGAGTTTACGGGGATGAATAAACGCTACTACCTTCCTACTATGCGAGCACAAACTCCGGTGCGAGGACCATATCTATTACCTAAGGCTGATCATAAAAAATGTGCTCCGAGGGATTCTCAAACAACAAACAATTACTAAAACTATTGGAGGTGCTTTTATTCTTTTTTTTTTTTATGCACGAGTTGTCATTTTTTTGTCTTCTTTTTCTTAGTTCATGCACATTGCACCGAACTATTGCAATTTTTTTCATTGCATAATGCATCTCTCCCTCATGACCAAGAGCGGATGCATCATAGCCTTCAGTTTCAATGTCACATGTGGGGAAGTTGATGGTCGGATTCGTCTTATCCCGAGCACCACGTCCCAGCCCGCACTCCACATTGGGTTGCCACACATGTCGGGGTACAAACGAGAACTATGAGGCCTAATGAATCGCTTAAAGGTACCTTTGATCCTTAACATACGATTCCATGAGGAGGAGAGGTGTTTCGGGGATGGTAAATAGTAAAGGTGGTCGGGACACGATAAATCTATCCGATCCCAAACACATCCTCGAAGGGCACTCCGGGCCAAGAGAACAGTCCTTAGATGGTTGATCTCAATTCTTTGCTCGGTTGCCAATCACGTGAGGAACTCTTTTCCTATTATTAAGCACAAATTGTAAAAGTTCTTAGTTCCCATAAAGAAGAGAATCCCGCACACTATGCCTTCTTAAGGTGGCAAAATTATCGACTCACAAAATAGGAATAAAGTAGTAGAATCCCTCACATACCGATACTCAAACTATGCAACTATCATCTAAGATGCTCCAAAAATTAATCCATCTAATCAAGTCAAAGCACATCGAGTAGGTAATTGCAAGGACAAAGTGTTTTAGAATCCTCAAATTTGAAATTTTTTGGGTGTAGCATTCAAGGTTCCAAAAACAATAATATTTCACCATTCATCACCACAATGTAAAAATGATTACTAGCACACACTCCCACAAGCGTTTATCAATGTCTCACATTCACAAAGGAAGAAAAATGCTAGCAATTAAGGGTGTTCAAATGGTTACTGTGTTAATAACCAAACCAATTAAGCTTAAATTTCATTAACCATGGAATAAAATATCTTAACCAAACCAATTAAGCTTAAATTTCATTAACCATGGAATAAAATATCTTAACCAAACAGTCCAAATTAACACGAAAACTAAATTAACCGAACCAAAGTTTAATTGGTTTGGTTAATTGGATAATCGGATTAACCAAATAATTAACATAACATTACATGAAAACAATTATCCTGTTAATGAATAAAACATAACCATATGTTATCACTATCATAAACTATCAATATATATAAGCAATAATAATAAGACTAACCATCCATGATTATTATCATCATTCGAGTTAATACATTATTCATCATCTCTGCATCAATATAGTTAGCTTACAACAAACCCTTAACATAAATATTAAATACATACAAATACCACTCATCAGGAAGTTAAAGCTCCCCTACAAAACACTTAAACTATACATAGTTTGAGGTGGCTGTCATAGTATTTTACATAATCCTAAAGTCTAGTAGTTGTCCAAAATGTTTTGGTTTAGTAAATAGGCAACCCCTTTAATTTTTTACTCATAATGCTTTGGTTTGTTGTCCACATGGAAATAAAATAGGGAATCACGAAAGTTTGGTTTGGTTGGTTGCATGGAAGTATAAATAATTGTGTATATTAGGTGTATCATTAATTGGTTAATTGGTTTCATTGGTTAGCAGTGTTGAAACCAAACCAAACCAAACCACCTAAACCAAATAAGTTAAATTGTTTAACCAAATCAAACCGATTATCCAAATTAATCGAATACTACCGGTTAATATGGTTACTACGGTAACCAATCCGTTTGAACACCCCTACTAGCAATCAACGGTTCAACCAATCATGATAGTAAAACAAACATGAACATCCCCCACACTTGAGCGACACATTGTCCCCAATGTAGGAGTTTTGAAATAAAAGATCGTGAATGTTACCATAAATCGGGTTGTGGGTTGGTAAAGGTTCACAAGTGTAGTCTTTGGCCTTTCTTACTACTTCTATTTATGTGTCCTGTTTTTATTTCATACATCTGGCAATGGAAACGAGATAACATGTTTACTTTTCATTTTTTCCCGTTTGTTTCAATTCTAAATAGAGGAATTGGTACTTCTTGTTGTTTTCATCGGCAGCGGATCCAGTCAATAACTTTGTGGTCAATTAGATGCATAACCCAATAAGAATCCGCCACATCAGCGCTCATTCTCTTTCCTGAAAAGCCTTTAATTTTTCCCTTTAATCTTTAACGGTCGATTTCTCACCTGTTTTAAGTCTAAATTTAATTATTATTTTTTTGTACAGTTAGATCAGATTAATTGTTCTCTTCAAAATGATATTCACTTTGATATATTTTTTAAACTAAAAAAATGGAGCCATTTTTTACTAGTCTATACCCTGTGGTATTGAGTCGTATTGAAATAAGAGCATACATATGATATGAAAAGCATACCATGGTGGTATGAACAAACTAAGACTGTAGGATGGTTGAATACATGATAGTAGAAGTATATTAACTGTCATTTACAACTTTTAACATTGTGTACAACAAGATACCACCCCGTACCAGGGTGGTATTGTGTGTTATTTTTTGGTCCTGTATTTTGTTCACCCAGAAATTTGTAGATCCAATAGATCATGATGAACTCGTTAATTCTGTGCAAACGTTTTCAAAAACGACTTAAGAACGAAGAAGATACAATATGATATGCAGTTGGTACCGAGAGGCAATAAATTTGTTTTTCTCAAAAAATATTAAAAATGGATCTCCTTTGGTAGAGCATAACGAGCTCGTTCCATCTGTGCAAAAAAAAATTGAAATCCGAGTTAAAAACGAAGATATGAGCCAATTAAGAAAACAAGGAAAAAATAAAACATATCTTTAATTCTTCACCCTTAGATTTGGATTTTTGAATAAAGGGTCAAAATTTAGTTACTAATGGGTGCATAACACATGGTTATGCACTGCATCTTGAGCCACTTTCACCAGCTTTCAATATCTGTTATCTCATACTTTCAACGAAATGTTTTTTCCTTCTTATCGATAAGGTGAAATATTTGAATAAAATTACTCACAATTATGTTTAATTCTCCACCCTTAGATTTGGATTTTTTGAATAAATGGTCAAAATTTAGTTACTGATGGGTGCATAACACATGGTTATGCACTGCATCTTGAGCAATTTTCACCAGCTTTCAATATCTGTTATCTCATACTTTCAACGAAATGTTTTTTCCTTCTTATAGATAAGGTGAAATATTTGAATAAAATTACTCACAATTATGTTTAATACTTTTATTTTAGTCCTTTAATTTTTCTATTTTACCTAAGTTTTTATTTTTTTATTAGATATAATATTCACCTTATAGACTATTCGAAACAGACGAATCAATCATTCATTTCTATTCAAAATGAATTACTTTTCAAAATTCATTTGAATATGAATTTTTCTTATTTGGAATGTTATATTCAAATCTCTAAAAATTAATTGAATTGAAATTTCAAGTCAAGTTTGCAACATATTTATAATTTAATTAAATGAAACTTTCCAAAATGTATCCTTAATTTAATATCTAAATCACCTAGAACATCATTTGTATTCAAAATAAATCAATGAAAACATGCACCCACTACATGACATGGAGTAGAAAAGTAACAATGTTACAAATACTTAGCTTATTCAAAATCTGAAATTGAAAAATGAATTCATTTGAATTTCAAAGAAAAATATTTTATTTTCAAAATGAATACATAAAAACCTTATGAAATTCATTTACATTAAACAACATGTAAGATTTTATTTAAAAAGTCACGATAAAATTTATATCTGTCTTATTTTTATGTAGAATAATTTTTTCTTGTTTTTATATTTGATACTTTTATTTTATCATTTTTATTAGTTAGATCATTTAAAGTTTCTTTACTTTAATTTCAAACACTCTATCATAATTCAGGTTTCAGTTTCATAATTGGGCAAAAGTTTCAGCTTAACTTTGTTTTATTTTTAGGTTTTGTTTCTAAGGAAATGGTAGTTTCAGTTTTCACCAGGTTCTATTTTCTATTCCCACAATCACAGAAAACAACGGAAATGAAAGTAAGCATGCCCTCAAATTTACCTACACACGGAGTAGTAAAAAATTGGATAAATACAATATATTAGCCATAACTATTAAGCAGCGGGAAATTATAGTCAGCTTAGATTCGTAAAATTTTAGTCATCATTATTAACAAAAGTGTTAACGAAAACT